CGAGCTACCTGCCGGCTGAACTGTTCCTGCTGCTGCAGTCGGCTGTGCTGGCGTGCCAGGAGAAGGACGCGGAGGCGCTGAAAGCCCTGCAAGCCGAGCTCTGGCCGCTGCTCAGCGCCGAGCAGAACCACCTGCTGCACCTGGTGCTGCAGGAGATGCTCAGCCCCGCGGGACAGGGGCTCTGAGAACTGCGGCCGGTATGGACGGGACTTTCCGTGCTTCCGCGGGGCGGCTGGGCCGGGCTTGCACTTCTTACTAAAGCCACAATCTGTGTCAGTGTCTCTTTAATTCCGTTATTTATTTTTAATGTTAGTTCTGTAACAGAATCGAGTACCAATTGAGAAGCGAATGTGCACATCTCATTTACCTTGTGTTGTAGTAAAATAATCACCATATGTGTTGGAAGTTGTCGTGTTTAAAAAAGTCTAACCCTAAAGCTGATTCGGGGCAGAACTTGGGCTGTTCTTAAAGAGCAGAACTCTGGCTGTTCCTTAGAGCTGGCCATACTTTGCAGACAGGGGAACTTGTTGCTAGGAGGTTATCATCTGAGCTACATGTGTTGAAGGGCTTGCATATCTAGGAAGAAAACATTGCTGGAGTTGGATTAAAAAAAAACCCCAACATATTAAAATGAGGTTTCCCCCCCTCCCATGAAAACAAGACACTGCAGCCAACACGAGGCCAAGTGTTGGCTCTTGTGGTGGACAAAAGTGGTTGCCTGGGGATGGGTGGTAGTGGCCTGACTGCATTTTCTGTGGAACAGCTGGTAATGTAGAGAACTGAGACTGCAAGAGGATCAATCTGCTAGCAGAGGGTAATTAGGAATTAAATCAGTGGTGGAGTTCTTGGAATGGACTGTTTACAGTTCTTGTCTGCTGTTGGGCCCTTTGGCCCTCTTGCTTTCTGCGTATTGGGACCTTTGCCAGTATTTAGGTGAGGATCTTTAGATGAGAAAACAAATTAACCTGTGGTCTTAAGTACATCCAGCTGCTGCCTGTAGGCAAAGCCCAATTGCTGCAGTGATAAGGTGCAATCTCAGGAAGGGGATGCTTTCTTCTGGAAGCCAGAGGTGTCTTGGTCTTCTCCAAATGTGTATAGTGTAAATCAGGAGCAATTCTGCTGCACCTGGCTAATGGTAAGTGAAACAAATGCTTCCAGCAAACACTCTCCAGAGACCCCCCAGCTGGCTGAGGCTGTGGGAGAGAGAGGTTGGTTTTGCAGGCCTGGGAGAGAAGTGGGAGGCAAGAGGTCACTGACACGGGTGGCAATTATGTGTGTTCTTGATTTTAATGCTGGGGTCTAGGCATGGCAGGTTTTTTCCACTGGAAAATTCAGTGTTTGTTTTCCAAACGTTTGAAAACTGCAAACATGGATTCCCACGTTTAAGAAGAGTTAATTATTACACAGCTTTTTTTTTTCCTCTCAGGTGAAATTGCAGCTGATAAACGCTTCATTCAGAGTTGGGTGCTGTAAGCTGAGTTAGCTGTGCACGCAGCAAAAATACAAACCCATCAATCAAATGACCCCCCTCCCTAGCTCGGTACCCTCCGCAGCGCTCCCGGGCCGGGCCGCACC